TTTTGTTTAGCGGCATATCAACCTCTATGGGTTACTTAATGCCGAAATCTAAATATTTCGAACACATTTTTATGGCTTCCGCTGTATATACTTGGAACGTATTTTGCCTGTCTTTAACTACAAATAAAATATATTGTTGATCCTTTTACTACAAATATGTATTTTTTTTTTTTACTTTCGTAGTGTTTTTTTGTTTTTTTTTATTTTAACTGGAGAAATGCAGTTTTAATAAACTAAAGAATCTAATTTTTCAAGACGAAATTAATAGTACAACAAAGCGGGATACGGAAATCTTAAGGTCCAGTGTGCGTCAGGTATTTGAGAACAATGACGTCACGTCGTCTTTTAATGATAACGTTATTAAACATCAGACGATATGAAAGGAATTTACATGAAATAGACAAAACTTGTCTATATTATTTAATGAAACATGCATCAATATATATATATATATATATATATATATATATATATATATATATATATATATATGTCTGTTGTTTAAAAGAATGCTATATTTAAAGGTAAAGCTGCTCAATATCAGGGACTGACCGTGTGTATATATAAAAGTAGATACTGAGGTTAAAAATGAGTGGCGAAAGCCTGTTATCTGCTTGAACACAATCTTCAGGCATAAAGAATGCGTTCAAATATGAAACAGACCCTTGTCAGTCGGTGTTGACCTCAGTATCCATATATATATATATATATATATATATATATGTGTGTGTATGTAAAGACAGACAGAGAAAGATCGAACGCGTTTATATAACATGTATTTCTGCATAAATAAATATTTTTAAAACATAAGACTTTAAAAAGATTAAATTAGGGTAGGTCTTTATATGTCTTCTATTTGTGTGATTGTGTTTGGTTGTGTGTTTAATCAGTACTTGCATGCTTGACATGAAAATTATCAATAGTAAAGTCTAGTGATACTTCGGGGTATAACTCGGGTGTCTAGTGTTTCAGCTCCTAAACTATATCTGATCTCAGTATTATTCCCTGATGATGAAGCCTTAGGACGAGCTGAGTTTTCCATTTTCGTATAGTATTTTTGTGTATTCTTTATGTATGGGTGCATATGTTTTCGTGTATAAGTCGAGTCATTAAGCCAAAATTTTACTTGGGAGACAGCCGTTACTATCTTGCAAGTGTATAACTTTGAACACTTTCATTCTTTCCTTCCAGTCAATGCTATACGACATTTTGTCTTATGCTAAGATTTGTGGTTTACTTGTTTGTAATGTGATCGTTATCTGCAAGAATTGCATGAAATTTCTAGTAGTGACAAGTTAACCTACGAGAGAGAGTGATGCGTGTGTGTGGCCAATTTCAGAATTTAATATTTTATATTGTTGATATTAGCGATGCAATCTCCTAGAAGTCAGGAGAATTCACAAACTTCATAGTTTATACATAAGAGAGATTTTTGAGGTTTCGAGTTGCTGATAAAATCTAGATTAAATATTTTAAAACCTTTTATAATAAATGAATTTAAGGTACTTATTGGAACCATTGGCGGCAAATTATATTTTTCGATGTGTTGTTTATAGTTAACATGCAGCGGGTTACTTTGTGTCAGTGTGCACGTACGTGTGCTTGTGTGTCTGTGTGTCTATCTATGTGTGTGTCCGTGCGTGTGAGTATATGTCTGTGTTTCTGTGTTTTTAAAAATGTTTATTTATTTTTCCTCTGTCCACTTTTTGTTTGTTTTTCTTTGTCATTATTGTCTTTCTTTCTTTCTTTCTTTCTTTGTATGTTTTGCTTTTCTTTTTCTCCTTTTTTCTTTTCTCTTTGTAAGTTTTTCTCTCTCTTTTTCCTTCTTTTCTTCTGTTAGTTTTTCAGTCTATCATTCTTTTTTATCTCTTTCTTTTTCATTCTTTATTTTTTATTTGTATTTTTTTACTTTGTATCTTTCTTTCTTTTTTTTCTTTGTAAGTTCATATTTGCTTCTTTTTCTTTTTTTCCCTGTTGCTTTTTTTCGTTCTTTCTTCAATTTTTAATATTTTCTTTCATTATTCTGTAATTTTTTGTATGTCTTTTTCCCTTCTCTCTCTCACCGTTGTTTTTTTTCGTTCTATCTTTTTTCTTTGTTTTCTTTATTTAAATATTTATTTTTTATTTGTATTTTTGTTGTTTTTTTTGTTACATTTTTCTTTGTAAGCTTTTGTCTGTCTTATTTTCTTTCTTTTCAGCTGTTGCTTTTTTCTGATTTCATTCATTCACCAATCGCTCATTTTTTTTCATTTTTTTCTATTGTTTTATTTCTTTATTTTGTATTTCTTTTTTTACGTTCCTTTTTTCCTTTAACTACTTTCTTCTTTTTGTTGTTTTTTCTATTTGAATTATCATTTTTATTTTTATTTGCTTTTCTTCGTTTCTTTGTTTCTTTTGTGAGTTTTTTTGGCTTTCTCCTTTTCCTTCTTCTCTCCCGTCTCCCGTTTTCTCTTTCTTTCTTTCTTTCTTTCTTTCTTTCTTTCTTTTTTTCCTTGTTTCAGTTTCGAATTTATAAAAACTCTCTTTATTTTATGCACTCAACAAAAAGACGTTTTCTTCACAGAAAAAACAAGGAAGAATTACCATCTGCAGCATTCCTAAAACATATATATATATATATATATATATATATATATATATATATATATATATATATATATGATTTGAAAAATGTAAATGTTGCATACAACGTTTAAAAAAATTTAATGTTTGAATCAATAAATAGTTTTAATGAACTCTTCCACCTTTTGATTGCAGCCAACAAACATAGACAAAGTCTCATAATAAGCCTGACTTCTCTACAGGAGGATACCTTGTTTTCGAAAACTGCTTTTCTTATAATTCTTAGTAGAACCAAATGGTGTAAAAGTGTCCGCAGTGGGCTGGGAAGCGGGTATTTGTCATTTTTGAAACATTTACGAAGTAATATAGTATATCTAGTTTAAAATTAGACAGTCTTAGAATGTCAAGGTTGGTTTGGCGTACAAAGTTCAGTCAGATTAGCAAGATATCTGCCATATTTTGCCTATTTTACGGACTCTGATCCTTCACAACTTCCAATAACGCTTATAAAAATCTCCAAGACAACATTTTATATTTTTTAATGTATATTCACAAATATTAGAATAAGTTAAATCTGCGCCATGTTGGAAAATGGTTCATGAAAATGGTTCATATTTAAAATTTACTCTATTCTTCCATGAAAGGAAACACGGTGGCATAATGAATAGCGGCTAAGATTGAGGAATCAGAGAACCGAGTTCGAATTCCAGTCGAATCCATGGGAAAGGCATGAATCCTCTTCTTCATCTTCCCAGCTCTCGGTAAATAGCAGGACAGGTCAGATTTTTATGGCCTTGGATGACAACTGGTTTAGGAGTACAACTTTGAATTCCAAACCTGAAGTGCGCAGTAGGCTAGCAATCTACTCACTTAAAAATTGGCTTGTTATAGCAACCACAATGATATCTTGCAGCCCTATGTTCCTCAAGAAATTTAAAGACATAATATATACGTTCCTTTCATGCGTTAAATTGGCCAGTACCTGCGCTTAGCACCAAATAGTAATTTTTGACTTATATTCATCAGAATATACTGATCTAGACATAGGAATAAAATTCTTTTTTTTTTTTGAGTGGTGAATCTATTTTGTCACTAAAGTTTCCCCCATTTCCAAGTTTAAATGGGTTAAGGACAACTTTTTCCAAAATTTTAGTTCTTCACTGCAGACCATCTACCTAGATTTAGTCATGTGAAAGTTGTTTTTTAGTCTTTCTCTTAAGTAAAAATAACAATAACCAAGTTTTATAATTGAGCTGCAAAAACGTTCAGCGGACTCGGAAATCAAACATGTCCACTTGGTTATATTCTACGAACCAATTGTGTCTTTTTTCGGATTTTCTTGGCGCTTCTGACGTGCATTGCGAATAATAATGCCAAAAATAATTTCATTTTTTTTCGTGGGTGGGAAAAGAGAGATTTATTTCCGCTTTTGGAAAAAGGTTTGATTTTGTTTTCTTCAGAAAGAAAGATTTTTTCAGAAAATTTAATTGATTTTAATCTCTCTGAGGATTCCAGAACCAACATGAAATCGTATTTTGGAAATGTCTTCTTGGATTCTTGTTCACAAACATGTAACATTATCGATGGCATGTAACGTGAGTTATTGATACAACTTTGAAGAAATTATAACGGAAAAAAAAATGTTGAGAAATTGTCTTTGTTCGTTTAAAACTGAGTTGAATTCTTATTAAAAATATTCAAAGTGCGTTGATTGGATGTTCTTTGCAAAAGTGTTGGTTTTATTCAGAGTTACTCTTAAGATTGAAAAAAATCGACTGCATTCTTCGGTTAAGTGAACCACACCTTTAAACAATGAGAATGTCTTCAGGAAACTTGTCCTTGTGAGATTAAAATCGGCCATGTTACGTTGGCATCGAAACCGTGTTCTATGGATGATCATAAGTATTATAAATGCAATCACTTCAATCTTTTAGCAAGAGCGGAAAGAAAGTTTAAAGTTCCACTCGAACACAAAATGGTGGTTATGTTGACATTTAAGAAGCAAAATTTATCATCAGTTTAGAAATTTCAAATAATTAAACGTTCAATTCTTTTTGCAGCATTTATACTTTTTACCGTTACTGAAGTTTAAAACCACACTTTTAAGACATCCATACAATCTGTCGCAATAAAAGACAAAATTTAGAAATATCTGCGACAAAGTAATAGTTTGATAATTAGTTTTAGTCGAATATTATTTTTGTTGCTTTGTATAGCAACACACAGAAACAGTTAAAAACACAGTGATGCGATAAAAATCATCAAAAATATGAAATTATTATCAATAAAAATAATGATGATAATATTAATAAATAATAATAAGTGACGGAACTTTTTCAATATTTTGCAACACTCATTAAAGAACGCGATTTAAAAAAAATGAAAAGAAAATACAGTGTTTAACACTGTTTAAAATATTTCGGCAGTATGTCTGTCTTGAAGTTATGCTTTAAAAATGTACACAAGAATGAAAATGTTAAAAAAAACCCCTTTGTACAAACGTCGCTTGTCTTGAGAAACACGGTTGTTCTTGTAATCCACGCGAATGAAACGTAGCCAGCGTTAATGAAATGCAACTGAAACGTGAGTAACACGACGGTGACCGTTCTCATTTAAAAATTGACCGCCATTTGGTTACAAAGTAAGAGCAGCTTCCATGAACATTTTCTGGTACACATTTGTAAAAAAAATATCCAGAATCTTTTCTACTCAGCATTTTTAAACACGACTTGAAGAAGACGGACATAATGTCGAAATATTCTTGTACGGCAGATTTTCTTTTCTTTCCTTAACCGCACGCCTTGTGGAAATTTTGTAATAATAATAATAATAATAATAATAATAATAATAATAATAATAATAATGAAGAAGAAGCAGAAAGAGAAATAATAAGAATATAATTAGGTTAATAAAAATAACTAAAAACAATAATAAAGATGATGGTGACAATAAAGAGGGTGCAGAAAAATATGTAATGAGATAAGTATCGTTGGAATAATAATAATGATAAAAGTAATAAAAATAACAATAATAATGATGAAGATGATGTAAAAAGAGAAGTAATGTAAAGATAAATAGGGTAGGGATAATAATAATAATAATAATAATAATAATAATAATAATAATAATAATAATAATAATAATGAAGAGGCTCACAAAACCAGAGAAAGAGGGTACGCATAATAATAATAATAATAATAATAATAATAATTAATAATAATAATAATAATAATGATTATGATGATGATGATGAGAAGTCACAAAGCCAACTGATAAGAAGAGAAATAGGATACGAATAATAATAATAATAATAATAATAATGATAATAATAATAATAATAATGATGATGATAATAATAATAGTAAAATAACCAAATTAATAAATTCAGATAAATCTTGATTAATACTTTGTCTAAACAAAACACTATGGCTTGGAGTAAAACTCAAATCATTCATAATGTAGCTGTATGAGTAAAATTGAATAAGATTTTCTTTTCCTTTTTGCAATCTCCTTTCTCCGGGATCGACAGGGACTGTGAGTTAAAGTTACCGTCTAAGAGAAATCATTACTTTCTCTCTTCAAACGCAACAAAGCGAACACATCGTGGTATTTTTCTAACTAGGACAAACAAAAGTTGTAATGGCTTTCCCAAAGGGGAGATAATCCAATCAGAATTTAAAGAAAACGCTTCGCGTACAATAAATAATTCAAATCATATATAAAACATCAAAATAGAATTGTTTTGTTTATGTCTACACGTTTTTTTTTCATGCATGTCTGCACGTGACTAAAATAGATACAAATTAATTCAACCGACTTTTACACGTAAAAGTCACAGCTCGTTTGTCAGTAATTAGTGAGTTAACAAGGTGAATATTTGGTACCGGTTAATTGGTATAGCTCTCCCGTTTCTAATAACAATGGTTACCGTTAAAACGGTAAAAGCTTTTACCGCCATTTTAGACTTAGTAAAATGACGCGAAACATTGTATTTAGTTTAGAGCTGCTCTGTACGTTTACGAATGGGGTAAATCAGTGTAGTGCTACTGTGTAACACGAATAGGAATAGGGTAAATCTGAGGGCTGCCGTCTTTGTTCATATATTTTTGAAAAAATCGAAACGTTTTTATGTCCGTAAGAAGCGATAACGAAATGTCGATCAAGTGATATAATATTATCAGAGCACTTATAACTTGAAATTATACTCTTATATGATTTAGTCTTATTATGGATCCCTGTCAAGGGTGACAGTGAATGTAACAGTTTGTGTTGATAGTGTATAGACAAATAAAATAGTCATGGAGATAAATCTGCCGAAACACTCCCTCGCGCACCCTTTTCCGTCAACTATCTGACATGCCAGTGACAAGAAGTCTTGTCGGGAAATCTAGCAACGGAAAGAAGCAAGGGAAATTGGGTTCTTTCTCAGGGATATTTTCTTTTTAAATGTTTAGTTTTTTGATGGCTTGAACCACTTGTAACTGTAAATTAAAAGGCTACCATAGAGCAGTATATATGTAAATTTAACAGTTAACGAAACGTAGAAAATAATACCAGCAAAAGATAGTGGCAATCAAAACGAATTGACTTCATCTATTTTCTTTTAAAACAAAAGCCATAACCAAGTAGTTGTAGCGAGTCTTAAAATAATTTAATATTAATTACATAACGTCCTCATTTTGAAAATATGCTCCTTGTCTTCATTTTATCCTCGCTAACACCTGATTCCCAGCGATTTTCTTTCGTCTCTTTCGAAATCCTCTATTGTTTTTGTTCATGGCTTGTACACATACCAGTAAAGTAAACAAATAAATAAATCATAATAAGCAAAAACTGATCAGGTTACAATTGTTGAGTAAACCATAGTTGTCATAACATATACGAGGTTTGATTAAAAAGCATGGTGACAGTTACTATGGTAACGGAGGTAAACGGAGC